ACTTGAGCAAGGCCTTTGACATGGTCCCCCACCGCATCCTTATCTCCAAGTTGGAGGGATGTGGATTTGATGGGTGGACCGCTCGATGGATAAGAAACTGGTTGAAAGGCCGCAGACAGAGGGTGGTCATCAATAGCTCTATGTCCAGGTGGAGGCCGGTAATGAGCGGTGTCCCCCAGGGTTCTGTCTGTATTGGTACTGGTGCTCCTTAACATATTTATCAATGACATCGATGACGGACTCGAGTGCACCTTCAGCAAGTTTGCTGACAATACCAAGGTGAGAGGTGTGGTTGACACAGTGGAAGGAAGGGATGCCATTCAGAGGGAACTCAACAGGCTTGAAAGGTAGGCCTGGGTGAACCTGATAAAATTCAACACGGCAAAGTGCAGAGTTTTGCTCTTGGGCTGGAGGAATCCCAGGCATCCATACAGACTGGAAGGAGCTGTCCTTGAGAGCAGCCCTGTGGAGAAAGTCCTGGGGGTCTTGATGGATGAAAAACTTCACATGAGCCAGCAGTGTGCTTTTGCAGCTCAGAAGGCAAATGGTATCCTGGGCTCCATCAGAAGAGGGGTGGCCAGCAGGGACAGAGAGGTGATTGTTCCACTCTGCTCTTGTGAGGCCCCATCTGGAATATGCATCCAAGTGTGGAGCCCCCAGTACAAAAAAGACAGGGAGCTGTTGGAGAGGGTCCAGAGGAGGGCCATGAAGATGATCAGGGGACTGAAGCACCCCCCCTATGAACACAGGTTGAGGGAGCTGGGCTTGTTCAGCCTGGAGAAAAGAAGGCTGTGGGGTGACCTGATTACAGCCTTTCAATACCTAAAGGGAACCTACAAACAGGAGGGGAGTCAACTCTTTGAAAGGGTAGATAACTGCAGGACAAGGGGAAATGGTTTTAAGTTGAGGGAGAGAAGATTTAGGTTGGCTGTCAGGGGGAAATTCTTTACAGAGAGAGTGGAGAGGTGCTGGAACAGGCTGCCCAGAGAGGTTGTGGATGTCCTGTCCCTGGAGGTGTTCAAGGCCAAGTTAGATGGGGCCGTGGGCAGCCTGGTCTAGTATTAAATGTGGAGGTTGGTGGCCCTGTATGTGGCAGGGGGGTTGGAGATTCATTATCCTTGAGGTTCCTTCCAACCCTGGCCATTCTGTGATTCTGTGATTCTGTGACCTATTATCACCAATACAATTCTATTGCTCCTGGTTAATCTGTAAATGTGACCCTTCTTTTCGATGTCACAGACCCAATGGCAGTATCTACATTGTTCATACAGCGACAAAGTACTAGAATCCATGTCACATTTTTTGAAATAGTATTACACTTTGCCACAGCAAGAGCCAGTAAGTAAACTGAATAGATAATTCTGGAAATGTCTGGGATGATTTTCAATCTGCAACCAAATTCAATTCAATCCTCAACCAAAACGCAACTGATATCTGAGTATTACTGGAAATTAAAATTCTGACATTTTTTCAAAGATTCTGAAAGGAATCATTTTGTGCAGTAATTTTCCCTATCATTTCCTTTTGCAAGAAACACCTTGAGAAATTATTTTCAACAAGTGTTAAATCATAGCACTAAGTGCTATGAGTATGAAAAAATCCACAAGTTCTTAATTTCCAAAGGAACAACTCTGTTGGTGTACCTCACAGCATGACAGGCAGAACTCAGAATGAGGAGACATAGAGTCATAGAGTCACTTTCATTGGATAAGATTTTCAAGATCGAAAGTCCAGCCATCAACCTAACACTAAAAAAGTCCACCACTAAACCAAGTTTCTAAATGCCACGCCCATACGACTCTCAAATAGTGATGGTGTCTCCATCACTCCTCTGTACAGCCTGTTCCAACGCCTAACCACCATTCCTAAACTCTTCCTAATAACCAGTCTGAATCTACTGCAGTGCAGTTTGAAGCTTTTGTCTTGTATCCTTTCACTTGTCACCTGAGAATAGAGATCCATAGATCCATATCGTCTTCACCACAACGTCCCTAGAGGTAGTTAATGGCAGATGGTTGGTTACAATGTGATACACATTAATAATAATGGCAGACGATCTGAGTCAGTTTAAACAAAATCTACACATAAATACACAAACATGTACAAAAGTGTTTTTGCCCTTTCAATACCTAATTTGATTAAAATTTGTACTTTTTTTGAAGGAAAAGAACATTCTTGGTAAACATAAGACTTGTCAAACTTTAAAATCTCCTAAATTTTATCTCATTTATGTGTTCTTCCCCCAGGCAAAGTTTACTTTCAGTCTTGCTATGCAGCTCTGACATCTATTGAGCTGGGCAAAAAGTCATTAAACTAAAAGATACATGGCTTCTAATGCTGGTCCTGCAAAAGTCTTACTGTAAAACATATTAGGCCTCCATGTCTAGCTGCAGTTCTATTCTTCTATCCTCAACATCTTCATGAGGTACATGATGGGGAAGAATGCACTGCTAAAAAATTTTAGATTTGAGCAGGAGAATACACTCAGACCAAGAAATAAGGTGCTATTCCCACAGTCATATCTTCTCAAAGGAGAAATTACATTTTTTTTGGACAAAAATGAGGAGAATTCCGCAAAAACTATTATAAAAAGGTGATTTTGGCTTCTTACAACAGCATCCTAAGTGAATTATTTTTGAGTGACAATAATGTAATTAAAGTCCAGAAGTCGTGTACTTTATCTGAAATCTTGATAGAAATATAAATTTAAGGACATTTTGCAGACTCTTTTATTTCACATAGTGTTTATCTCAAAGGGTGCTCATTACAGCAGTGCTTCCTGTTCTGGCCCCAGGTCCCTGAGGAACTCATCAGTAGTCCTTCAGGGATCAATAGGAAACTTTTGCTTGACTGTGAAACTGAGATACAAATTATAAACTGGGGTCCTTGCAGGACAGTGGAGGTCATTTCTGGGGAGGTTTGAAGTGGAAAGAAGGAAATCAATATGTAGTTTTAAAAATAATTCTGTTCTGAGAAGAAAGATAGCAGTAATACAACAGAGAATTTTATAATTGTTTACTTCTGCAGTACATCCAAAGGCACAGAAGATGTTTTTTTTCCCAATTGAACTACATAGGTTCCTCGTTTCAGTGGAAATACAGAGTACAATACCACTATTTGATAAAGCAAATTCTCAGCTACAAAACGCTACTTTTCAACACAGTCACACTAACTAGCTATGCATTTTCACCAGTGATTAACAAGAGCCTGCATGATGCGCTCATAAATATCTGAACCAGCAGCAGTGACTCACTGTCACTATCACCACTTCTGAAACGCACCTCCCACTGCCTCGCTGTACTCAGATCCACTGTTTGGTCTCCGTAAATGTTCAGCAAGTGTTGATGAATATCAGTGGGTGCCTTTTTTTTCCACCCAGAGAAATTCAGTGACACATCTTTTCTTTCTATGCACTTTCATGTCAGACTGCCCCTCTGCTGCCATCTATCACATGGCAACAACACATATTTTGGTGAAAAGGTGCAATTTCTACTGCCATAGCATCAAAAACTATCTGCCACTGTGGACCACCATAATAAAATAGGAGTCATTACTTTTGGAACAGTCTTTATAATACTTATAATTGCTATACTGATATATATTTCAGAAACAATATACTTTTTAAGAGAAAAAGAAGCATCTAATAAACATGGAAAAGAAATTCTAAAATACAAGTAATCACAAGTTCTGGTTTCAAACACTGCTCCTTCTAATGAGTTCCCTTATAACTACTTTTCTTCACTGAACAGTGGACTGCTTCACAAGCTTACACTAAACTGTTAGTTTTCAGCTGGGAGAAAAGTGTGTCCTACCACAAGACTGCAGCAATTAACAGCAGATTTTCACAAATGAACCACCTCTCTCTTGGTTGTGCAAGTTTTGACAAGTGTTTAATATTCCACAGTTCTCATTTTGGAAGATAAAGTCCTCTCCATTTCCAGTTCCCTGAAATTCAAAAATCAACTGCTAGATGCTAATCAGCCCCAATGCTCTTTTGAAAATCTGCCCAGACCATTGCTCAAATCACAGTAGTAGACCTATAATTTGTTACACAGACATTCATAGGCAGAGCATTTATTAAAAAACTAATTTACTTTTCAGATTTTTGCAGAGAGTAGGGCTTGCAGGGGAGAGGGGGATCAAATCTCTCAAAATGTGTGGTCAGTGGAAGCCTCTGTTATAATGATCCTTGCAATGATGCCTTCATCTAGGCTGGGCAAAGATCCCTGAACCATTGTTTCACTCAATTCCTATAATCCAGCTGGTCTATAGTCTTAATGTTACCAGACTAGCACATTCACAATGCACTGAAATTGGCTGCGTTAAACTACATTAAAAACACCTCTAACACACAAAATTCCTACATGACCTTTTCTGTATCTGCAGGAACTGTTTTTATTAAGATGTAAAACTTCATCAATTTTGCATCAGGAACCACCTGGGAAGCTTTTCTAGAAAGAAGATGCACATTCTCCACCATGGATGTTAAATATATTTAAGCACACAAAGTGGACCAGTGGACAGTATGAATAGTTTATTTTTTCTCCTGAGCTCCTCATTAAATTTAATTATTTGAAACATTTGTCAAAGCATCATTTGAATAGAGCTGTTGAGAACCTGTGTTTGAGTGATACAGTACTTTTTGTCAAAAAAATTATGCAGTCAAGAATTCAGGAAAGCATATTTAGGCACATATAAACTTCTCAACTTATGCATCACATCAAACAGCTTCAAATCACCTCATCATGGAAATTACACTCATGCATTAATATTGTTTAGCAACAAAATTATTATAGAATTATAGAATGGCTTGGGTTGGCAGAGACGTTAAGAACCACCAATTTTCAACCCCTCTGTCACAGGCAGGGTTGCTGGCCACTAGATCAAGCACTAGACCAGGTTGCCCAATGCCCCATCCAACCTGGCTTTGAACATCTCCAGGCACAGGGCATCCATGACCTCTCCGGGCAGCCTGTTCCAGCTCCTCATCACTTCCTCAGTAAAAAACTTCCCCCTGACATTTAATATGAATCTTCCCTCCTTTAATTTAAAATCATTCCCCCTGGTCCTACCACTATCTACCTATGTAAAAAGTTGACTTCCTTCATGCTTATAAATTCCTTTTAAATATTGGAAGCCTTCAACAAGGTCTCCCCACAGCATTCTCTTTTCCAGGCTGAACAAGCCCTCTTCTGGACCCTCTCCAACAGATCCTTTACTGTTTTAGGGGCGCCAGACTTGGATGCAGTACTCTAGCTGGCACCTCAGAGTAGAGGGGGACAATTGCCTCCCTTGCCTGTCTGGCCATGGTATAGCATGATAGAGCAACTGTATGAGTTTTTGGATTGGATAATGGTTGCACTTAGTTGAAGGGGACAGGAGTACACACTCTTTGTGAACACTGGAGAAAGTCATTCTTAAGGCTGAATTCAGTAAGCTTCGTGCCTCTGAACTGGGATGAACTTTCACAATTAATTTATGCTAATCCAGTCTATGTCTCTAGAGAAAATAAAAATGAAAAACTTTTGCCCAGGTATGTTTTTGTCCTTTCTACTTTGGTCATCACTGCCCCTGTGTGCATCCAGGTTTTGGGCAGGACAGAGTACAAATATTCATCTCATTGATCCAATTCTGCTTGAAGTAATGGCCTATTGGGATTTTTGACATAACTACAAAAGAGGCACAAATATCATTTGTCTTTCAGATTACCAATTCTATTTTTAAGATACCAGAAAATGAGAAGGGAAATAGACAGGAGAGGTTTTCCTTAACATCAGCAATCAAACTAGAAATACACAGATTCAGAAACAAATATTACTTTCAACTACAATGAAAGTTACATGTATATCATGGTTAACCTGGTTGTACAGTTAATTGCAATGGAGAGACTGGAAAGGTTGGTTTGAGAGAGCTGCTGTAATCACTTATATTTATTAGCAGTCAGAGGCAAGCTTCTGCATCTTCTGTGATAACTTCTCTGTTTCTCTTGCTCTGGATTTGTTTATTTTGTTATTTTAAGACAAATGGAGTGATGAGTCAGGTCAACCTTCCTGGTGGAAAGAAATCATCAAGTCTCCTGTGGGTACTGGAAGAAAAGGGACACAGAAAGGATCAAGAAGTCTGTAAATGATTTTGAAATTTAGAAAATGCTAGGAAAAGCAGGGTATGAAAAGTCTAGCATTAGAAATAACTACTTGGTCTCTCTCAGGGAGCTCAGTAGGGTTTGCTACAATCCAGGAAGTCAGAAATTGGCTAAAACCCAGTGTAGAAACCTGTTCTTTTACAAGGACACTGAGACTGGAGAAAGAGTTGGTTATAAGACATTTATAAGTTGGCTTATCTGCTTTTTTTCTCTTTTAAAACTTGTATCAACAGGTCTCTAGTTGTTTGGGTTTTTTTAAGAAAAAAATAAACAAAACATAACATAAATGTCTTTTTATCTTCCTTGGGAAGCTCACTATCCAGAAGAAAAAAAAAAAAAAAGTCTTGACAGCTTTGCCTGCTGGTTTGAAGCCTCATCAGAGTTATCTCACACTATATTACAAGATACCTTAGCAGCTGTTAAGTGGTGACCTTCTGTCCCTGAAAAACCTGTTAGGCTATATATGGTATAAGGAGGAACAAATCTAAAAACAAAACAGAAGAAAAAGGTAAGGATAGAAGGAAATATGGACAAATGCAGCATAGAAGTGCAGCAGAAAACTGGAAGAAATTATAGCAGGACTTTGGCTTCTCATGAAGCCAGGTGGAAATACAGTTTTTGGCTTTTTAAAATGACCTTTTGGAGAACCAGAATCTGTTTAGCAGCCTACTGCAAAATGAAAGATATCAAAACCAGTTATCAGTTTAGTCTATAAGTTTCAAAAATATGACTTCCCTAGAGAGAATTTTTTTTTGAAAGTGAACAATTTCATCTGGGAACACCAAGATGGGAAAAAACATGGAAAAAGCCTTTACAACAAGTCTGAAGCTCAATCCAACACCCGTTGAATAGAAATTCCTTTGAAATCTTTAATCTGAACTTAAACAGTAATGGCTTTAGAAATCCAGGCCACTGAGTAAGATTACTAGAAGATTTTGCCTGAGAATTATTAATAAATTACTCAAACAAATAATTACATAATAAAATAAGGCAGTATCAGAAAGAATAAAATGAAAACTGACCAAACTAACTGATGGACAGAAAACAAAACAGTGTCCCTAGTTAGTAAATATCAAGACTTAAGGAGCATGAAAAAGGAAAACAGCTGAAGGTTAAAAGGACATATTTGCAAAGTTCTATTAAAATGAATTGAAGTAAGATGGCACAAAAGGTAAGTCAAAATCCTGAAGGTGACACAAAACCCTTAGTAGTATTTTGTGCTTGAACAAGGTCATTATATGTGAAATGTAAACATTCTGCAGAAGCCTGCATTCAAAGAACTGAAGCTACCTAAAGAGAAACAAAATATGAATCAAATACACATTGAACAAAGAACTAAATTTTTTTATAGGAGCTGCTCAAGATAAGGCCACATTGAAAAGCTTTGTATATCACCTTGAATATGAAAGACGCTTTATGACTTACAATTTAGACACTGATACATAATTTAATATGATCTCTTGTATTTCATTAAATCATGTTGATAAAAAGACAGTCATATTGAACATGGAGAGATAAAACTCAGATTGCACAGTGATAAAAGCACTCCTATCGTGAATGAACACGTTTGTTGTAAAACAAAATCTTAAAAAAGTGGCTTGTATTCAGGTTTCAGGAGAAAGTATATATCCCTGGGTAGAAAACACGGCAAAGTCTACAGCTCCCTGAAAGAAATACTTTGGAAGTAAAATGGCATCCAATGAAGATTTTAAAAGTAGCCACACGCAGAAGTAGAGAAATGCCAACAGAAAACCAAATGGTAGAAAGACAAAAAGTAGAAATGATGAAAATAAAGTGACAAAGACAAAAGCAGAAAGTGGTGCTATGTGTGTGAATGCGGTCAAAGGCATTTTAAATGAATGATAATAAGATTCCCTTATGTGGTGAATCTTCTCTTGTAAAACAGTGAATAGGTACAGGTTCAAGGTTATTTCCTTTGTGATATAAAGGATGAAGAATTTAAAAATATAGATATCTAGCATGCAGGATAATGCATAACCTATTAGAGTTGACAGCTTGGCTGGGGTAAAAAACATACAACAGATGACAGCTTGATTATTATGCATTTTAAAATGTTGTTAATAATATGATTTTTAGTGCATTTTAAGAACACAGGCTTCAGTTACATATATTCTACAAATCTGTAGAAATCTAAGAATCATTTTATTTGGAAAAGACCTTCCAGAACATCTAATCCAACTGTCAGTCTGACCTGCAAAGTCGTTAAACCACGTCCCTGCTTGCCACCAGTATTAGTATGGCAAAGCTCAGACTTTGTTTGGCGCCATGTAGTTGGCATCCTCAAGATGAGAGTACCTTCTTGGTATTGAGTAACTATTCAATAGAACGCTTAGAAGGAGACAGGCTGATTATACAGCAGCTTATAATATATTTTTAGAAATGCTATGCCCACAAAACTGTACTGTTGATAACCTGAACTAGATTTTGCAGCCACAAGAGAATTCATACAATACATATTCAGAACAACTAAAGCAAAAATAACTGGAAAGAGTACTTCTTGTCAACTTGCACCTGACTTCCACACAAAAGAGAGAAACCATTTTCAGCTGCTTCAGAGGAAAAAGATGGAAAAAGAAATAGGCATTTAGAACTGATGCTGAGTAGTCAGGGGAGGAGACACTACAGAAAACAGCCAGGAGAGAGCTTTAGCTCCTGAGGTAGTTTGTACACTGCATTACAGGGTGGACTTACATACTGGCTGTTACACCTCAATGTGAGGCTCAGGATACCAGACCTAGCTGACTTTTCTCTTTTATGTGCCACCCTGAGATGCAGACTCCCATGTGTCCAACCTCATCCACTGAAGATCAGACAGTCTCACTGCCTCCCTCCAACTCCTGATCTTTCTGACTACTCTCCTGCCTTGTCTCAGGTGTAGAAGTTTGGCTTTCCCTAGGGAGGAAGATCTGCCAGAAAATATGTTGACTGAGTCTGTTTGTTTACTATCAAACCAAGAAGCCAGCTGGGAAATCTCAGGCCTGCAGAACCCTACAGTTTAGTTAATCCGATCGATTCATTAAAAAGCCATCTTCTTAGTTTTGACAACATTATATGACGTGATTTTAGAATGATTTCCATATGTGCATATGTGCCTTACTGCTTTTGGACTCAGACCATATCACTGGAATATCTATAACAAGGTCTATATCTAGAGGGAAAAATATATTGTCCCCTGCCAAGAAGGAAGAAGAGATAGAGGGGAATAAAAGAAAACTAAAAATGTCAGGAAACACAAGTCTGTTGTCTGAAATGTCAATCACTGATTTTGATAGCTGAGATATCTTAAAGAGCTCAGCACTAGCTCCTTTCTTCACTAAAATCTCCTCTCAGGGCATTTCATGAGTAAAATCTACCCTTGCACAAGAAAAGGTGAGCAGTAATAAGTAAGCAGCATGTATATTTTGGAGAAGTTGAGAATAAGCATACCAACACACAGTTTATTAGAAATTGGTTTATCCAAAGGCAGTCACCTAAGCAACCTAATTATGCTGTGCCTGCAATCTGCTTCCACTGAATGTTCAATACTGATCATTTTATGCAATCGCTGTAAACAGAGACATAGACAATACCTGGTGTCTGGATGTGTGCCATGTCTTTCTAAGATAGATGAGGTTTACTATTATTCTATGCAGGAGAATAAAAAATTATGAGTAACTCACATTCTCATTTACCACTTTGATCCTCTATACTTTCTTCCCAATGGCTATGTAGAGAATATAATTACAACCTGTCATATTACTTTTTTTTTCAGCTACAAAAAATGCAATTTGGCTGAAGCAAAATGTTTTGCAAAAATGAATCAATTTCAATTATACATTTGCTAGGATTAATTCTTATGCAGAGAAGGCTTCAAGGGAGAGCTAGGAAAGGCGAGGCTGTGGAAAGAATCTGTCAGATCCAAAATAACAATTGTTCGAATGCAAATGGAGAAAAAGAAAAATAACAAAAACCCTTTTATTCCTAAAAAACAATAAAGAATCTAGTTCAACCATCCCCTGGCTGGACTCCATGCTCTAAATCTCAGTAGTAGATTTTTCTGTGAAAACTCAGTCTCACAATCATCATAAAATAAATATAATGTAAAATGAAAGTTACTTTAAACCTTCAATTTTTCATAAAATGAATTTGCTTTTCCACTTTAATAGTGCCTTACTTAGAACGCTGACCAGCTTTGTGTCACCACAGAACCACATTTTAATGGTGCTTCTCCCTGTATGCTAACTGGAAAGATGTAGCCCTCAATAAACCTCTGTCAAGCTGATCAACAAAAGAGAAGAGTATAATGCACAGTAACATTTCTGCTTGCAGTGACATTCCTAGCATTTTATTTATTTGAAGAAATGACTGTTCAAAGAATAATGATGAACTTTGTAGATGAGCAAAGAAGTTCCTAAAGAAAGAAAGGAAAGGTGGAATGGTAAATAAATCAGGTGAGACAGAAATCTCTTCCAGTGAGCTAGAATAAATATATACTCCTTTTTTTAAGACACAAGGACCCAGTTCTGTACTTTTTCAGCTAGCTAGTAGCTGCTTTAATACCCACGAGGTCAGATAAAAATCTAATTAGCATCAGTCCACTGCTTGATAGGACTGTGACTCAAGTCCTGTAGTCCAAAGTAGGAAACCCAACCCAGAAATGTCAGTGTAGTTGATAACATCTATTAACACTTGCTCTGTGTACATTTACAGTAAATTCCAGTTCTTACCACAGCTATGAAGTTAAAAGAAAAGATAAATGAATCTAAATCAATGCTTTCTCTAACTCAGTCCTCTCAGTATTTATTAGAAAAATACTATTTTGACTGACTTTGCTTTGTAAAGACACACAGAAAAAGCAGTACTGCATAATCCTAATAGTTAGTAGTATGTTACCTACTAGTAATGTAAAAGAATCTATAAACATTCTAATATATAATACAAAAATTTCTGCAATAATATGTTTTAAAAATAAAATAAATTTAGTGGTATGAATAAATAATTTCACTTCTCTTTGAAAGTCAGTGCCAGACAAATGTTATGGTCTAACATGAGTGCTGGAAAGGGTGGTGGAGAGACAGAAAGAACCATCCATTTGAAAACTTATTAAAATGTGGGAACAATTGATTCTGTCCTTCCACCGGTGACACTTCAACAAACTTTTGCATTTGACCTTCACTGTTAGCCCATATGAGCTATGAATTCACATAGCACATTTCATTATAAGATTGATCACATAGTAAAAACTGTGTGGCTACACACTGTAAATGACACAACATACATCTACATGTGTAATTCCTCATTGTGCCAGTTCAGTGGGCTATAGTACAGACAGTGAACATCCTGCACTGTCTGCACTCTTAGTTGAATGTTTGAATACATTCATGCAAATGCCATATATATAAACACACACATATATATGTACATGTTCACACAGCTCCTCAAATAATACAAAAAAAGCATTGCTTAATTTTTCTCTCTCTTGATGGAGGAGCAGAGGAAACAAAGTTTCCTTATCAAAGAGGCCCACAAATAATCCTGAGAAGCACATCATATGCATACTTATGTGCCCCATTCCTCTGTGTCCTTGGGGATGCAAGTAAGCTCTCCAGCCCTGGTGCAGCAGTGGCACTCATTAGGTGGTGTCAGCATCTCAAACCTTGCCACCAGTCTTTCTGTGTAACGCTTCCACTCACCCTGCTCATCACCAACCTCATTGCCTCTTTTTATCACTAAGCCCATAATACATGCCCACATATTGAAGGCAAGGCAGATGGCACATCTCATTTATTCAAGAGAATATCAAGCTGTTCCCCATGATCACTCCTTTTATATCAAATCTATGACTTTTAGCAAAATATATAAACTATGCAAGACAAATGTATATTCACGCTGTTTCCACCATGGGTGAAGATGTTTCATCCTTCTTTTCTGCAACATGCTGATGTTTCTGAGTGATGTTTCCTATTTCTGGATGCTACTCAGTTCAGATGTGAAACAGTAATCATGAAGTGAAGCATGTGCTGCGTCCTGATTGAGTGGAAATGTTAGTAAAGCTTGCATTTGTACATGCATCTGGGGAATAAATGAAGAGAGTTATGCATGAAATACAAATAAAGCATCATAATAGCTTCATACTAAGTCAGACCTAATCAAAGGTCTATATGGCTTAGTATTCTGCCTCAAGATAGGCCAAAAATAAGGTAGTCAACCCAAGAACAAAACAAGTGCACCACAATGCATACCCATGGCATGATTACAGATTGGGTTAGTAATCTATGCTGTTTGTTTAGAGCCAGTTACCTGGTGACTTAATTTTACGTCCCCATGTAGTGGATGCCCGGTCTTTGGGGATGTTCAAGGTCAATCTGGACAGGGCTCTGAGCACTGTGATCTAGTCTCTGTTCACTGCAGGGGAATTGGTCTAGATGTCCTTTAAGTGTCCTTTCCCAGTGAAATGATTCTACAATTCCACATTGCTACACTAAAGAAGGTGGCAAAAAATTTCAGTCATCTCCCATCCATTCATCAGTCCACATGTTGCCATATTCTGGCATGCCTTCCACTGTATGTTTCCCAGAATGAAGAAAATATACTTTTTCATGCCATCTGTTGGAGTTCTATAAATAGCTGGGACTTTATACATGGCCTTTAATAGCAAATTCCTAACAAGCTTCATACTTTCCAAAATTGGGTCAAAACTCCTCAATATTTTCTTGAATGGATGCTTGGCTTTAGCCGAGATACATCATACAAAAAAGTACACTGCAAAAATTCACTGAATGCAAATTTCTCAGTATGCCAGAATGAAGAAAAGTCACTGGACAACAGTTCAGTAGCACAGTCATTTTGTTGAAGAAAAAAATTACCTAAGTACATGCATTTGGTAGAAAACTTAAAAAAGAAACAATGGAAATGTAATGTTAATTTCATAAATGGCATCTTGGCAATTATTAGTAGAAACTAAACTCCAAGATGCAAAAACATCTGCTTGAGTCAACAATATGCCATTAAAAAGACTAAAGAGGTCAAAATACTGCTATCAACTATGTGTTTTTCCTAGCATTATGCAAATAGTAAAAAAAAAAAAAAAAAAGATTAAGAAATAGAAGATGTTTAGACTCCAATCTTTATCTGATATCAGTGAAATTTAGGTATCTAAATATTTTTTACAGATCTACCTACAAGTGCTTATAGTAAGTATTTTAAAAGCTTTAAATGAAGATCTAGATTAGTTTTCACAGTTTTGAGGTTCTTTTATCTGCTATCTAGAAATGCTCTCTCTTTTTCTAACATATAGAAAGAAAATATAATTTTATGTCGTAATTTGCTTTACCTTTGAGTTATAAAAAACCTTTTGTTTCAAAGACATTTTAAGTCATGAGGAGATCTAAAATGATTGGCAAAGATATCAATCTTTTGTCTGTCACTAGTGAGTGACATCAGGGCAGCAAAATAAGGAGCAAATTGCATGATAAATGAAATGAAATGTCAACCAGAGCATTTTTAGAGGACACTGTTTTATTTCTGACTAAGAATTTGAAAGGAAAACATTGCCTTTCTTGAACTTATACATCAGAATATATTACTGTATATAAAGTAAGCCATGCTATGAATTATCTTCTCTGTGATAAAATAGATCATCTCTTCAGAGACTTTCCTACTTGCTAGCTCCATTTCAGATCACTAAAATCATGAGATTCAAAACCATATCTTCATGGTGATGAGGTAATAGAAGAAAAAACACACACAGGTTGGTGTTTGCCTCCATCCAGACACAAATGATCATAGGCATCTGGTCTTTCCGTTTTCAACCTGCTCAAAGAAGGGTATAAACTGCAGTACAATAAGCTTTACTAGATGACTGCAGTTCATGAGGAATCAGGCTCATCAAGCTATAGTACTAAAAATTCTTGAAGAGTGGATATTAAAATAATACAACATTCCAGTTAAATCATAAGTCTTCATGGATAAAGAATGTAATATTATATAGATGAGTTATTGAGAAATATAAATATCTCATGACTGAGAAATGCTCAATACTTCAATACTTTGATTACAAATTAGCAAAAAAAAAAAAGTGTTTCAGAAAAGGAGACAGTGGCAGTTTCGGGCAGATGTAACTTTCCAGTTGTCAGTGGTTTATGGGCTGGTTCAGCCTGGTTCCCTGACTAGCAGGGCAGAGGGATCAGCAGATCCGTGCCTCCAGAAAGAGGAAACAGAGGACCCAAATAATGGAAAATAGCATCAATGATCTGAAGAGAAACACACTGATTTACTAAATATGGTATCGGAATGCAAGATAACACACTATAATACAGTATAATTAGAATTGAAGCTAATAAATCAAGTATAATGAGAGAGAGTGTCCAAAAGGTGGAAAGTCCTCACCATAGCGCTGAGGTGAGATGTGCAGTCAGGTCAAGCAGCAGGGAGGAGAGCTGAAAAAGGGAAAGGAAGGTCAGATGGTCTATAAAAGGTTATATCCTCTCTCTGAACACAAAGTCTTCTGGGGTATGTAGTTCTTCTCTTCCGATCAGGTGCCTGGAACTGGAGCATTAACTCTTTAACTCCCAGTGCTCTATGTGATGTTATGATGTGGAATACCAACAACCAAAAATCATAAAATCATAATACCTCTATTGAATTCTGCACAGGACAGAAAAAATAATCACTTAACCACTGTTTCTCAAAGGTATGAGAGATTTTTTTTTTCTTAAAGCCAACAATAATAGCAATAAAATGGTTAAAAACTACATTAATATAACCTGTAGCTTTATATTAATGCTTTCTGCTCAAAGAGTAATGACTTCTAACATTATTTCTAAGCCATGCAGAGGTTCAGCACTGACCCAACTGATGCAGTTCTTTGCTACTGTAACACACCAAAATATTTTGTAGGAGATCCATATCCACATTCTTCTCAGGTCTGTCGTCTGCTAAAGGTCTCATTTCTCATGAGATCACTCAGTTCATGGAGTATGACAAAGAATGGTATGGATTTCTCTCCGAGCTTCTCTTCAAACTGTGGTCTGTCAATCTCTGAAAGGAAGAGCAAGAAAGGGAGGGAGGAAGAAGGAAAGGGAGGAAAAGGCATGCACTTTCGCACACATGAAGGAGATAGAAGGCATTACAGATGATGGATACATAAGACAATGCATTCTGAAATCAAATTCCCAATTTCACCCTCCCCCTTTTCATCTGTCTTTTATTTATGTACAGTTTGTCATATTCTGTTTTCCCATCTGGTGGCAGTTATGTGTGTCTGATGAATCCTCCAAAAATTTCAACTTTATATTCTTCTTCGGTTTCTTAGTGCATTTATGAATAACTTCTTGAAAGCTTTTCTCAAAAGCAGTCACTTGGGTAACATGCTTCTACTTTGCAGGTATTACTGCTACCCTGTGTGTTGCCTGCCTTGCTCTGAAGCCCATTTTTATAGCTTTGTGATTGCAACAATAGGTATACATTATATGAAATAATATTCACAAATGACCACATTGTTCAGTATACTGCATCCCTTTACATTTACTAGTGGCAATAAATCCAATCACATTACTTCAGCTACAGCAGATTTATATCTGGTTCCTTTCAGTCGACACATTAACTTTAAAATTTTGTTGTGAGTTTTTCATTACCTGTCTGAAACATCCCTTTCATACCTATCAAAACTGATCTCCATTTATACATACCCTCAGTCCCTACTTTCTAATAATAAATCTCAAATTCATCAGCCCGCTTGTCAAGTCTCTCATCTGTGGGTAGCAGAGCATTCGCCTGTTACGCCCCTGAGCTGTGGGATTCACTGAACTGGTCTCATCTCCAAGTCCCCCGAGCTCTTCTAATCCCTCTTTGATTCCCACTTATTAAAAATTACTTTTAATATTTGATCCACTACTGACACATGCTGTAGGCTGTCAAGACTACCGCTACTGACAAGAAAATATTTCTGTGTTCTTTACAGAAGATGCAGTGACACTTTCTAGTGACACTTTCTAGACTAAAAACGCAATTATTTTTTTGCATTCCACATGGATTACAAGTCTTGCCTTTCTCTGCCTCTCATTTCTGAAGTTAAAATCAGTTCATCTATATAGGCTGTGGTCTCCAGACCCCAAATCTAAAACAAACAAACAAACGAAGTGAGGTTGCTTTTAGTAACATACTAGGAATGAAATACTGAGTAGGCACATTACCAAAGCTCTCCTAATTTGTAGTAAGGATGCTTTACAAAATATCTTCTAATGAAATCTAAGTATTTTTCTGGCCTAACCAAGTACTATACTCAAGGAAACTGAAGCAAGGGGACATGTCAAAAACCACAACAGACCTTTGGTGGAAGATCCCTGATGCTCCAGTGTCCAAACTCTGCTTTTTCAGCAGCACACAACCGTGTCTTTCCCACCTATGCTCACTTTGTCTCAGTCTGCATTTTATCACGTGTGAAAAGACTTTTTATTTCAGGAGCATTATGTGGGAACAGTAAAGTGAAGTACGCACAGATCTGAAGCATATTAGGACTGTAATTCCTGAAGGCAGATACACAGAATCCCAGTGACCTAAGCTTCATCTCACCCCTTCAGGGTATAATAAGTGATAGCTTCAAAACCAAGGACAAGCAAGAAAGTAAGCACATCTATAATTTGGGTATTTGTCATTTGTTTTCTTTCAATCCTTCCAATATGTCTAATCCCACATTTAAATTTGTATACATAATCATACACACACTAATGCTGTAGATCTGATGCTGTATCACTAAAAGCCCATTTTAGAATTGCTTGGGGTAGTCAGTAGGGCATTGTCTGACTGTTTTGGTAAACCCAGTGGGGATCAAGGACAAAAGAACATTTGTGATAAGTGAACATAAGAAGGGGATTTATTTTCGGATCACGAGAAATGGCTGCACTTCTGATTATACCTATCCCCTGACCAGGTTTCATAGAGATCTTAGTAAAATGCAAGGATGTCTTCCTGCTTTGCACACTCTACTGAACATCATGCACCAGGGCATTTTTGAGCTCTGGCTAAACTGAGTGCAAGCTAGAGATTCTCTCCCTGGCCCACAGAAGGGCCATGACTGGTGAGAAGCATTATCCTGTACTGCTTGTTGCAGTCTTAACAGCAGCACTGAACAGCTCCAGGCCAAAAAAAAAAACAACGACCCAGGCACAACAAAGCACCAAATGGTAATGATTTCACATGTATATTTACATCTCCCATACACAGTTAAACAGTTTATCACAGCAGGCTACATATATTTACAGATTTGAGTTCCAAATCAGCCTTTCTGAGTTTTGGCTCAAGATTAATGTCAGGTTGCCAACTCGACTTATTGCCATATATATTTTAATTCATAAATTATTGGTACATTGAATTTGTTTTTAGTACTCTGGAACTTCTTCATTGTTCTGTGGTTTATTTAAAATCAACATCAATGGTTCAGAGAATTTCACAGTGAGCTCTTTTATTACTCTAGGGTGCAAGTTATCTGGCTCTGTCAATTAAAAAAAATGTTTAGCTCTGACAGTTGCTGTTTAACACCTTCCCAACTTATTGATTGAATAGGAAGTAGTTCTTATCACTGTCAGATATGAGTAAATCAAGATTAATATACGTGAAAGATATGATTTGCTTTGTTCCAAATCGGAGTAGAAAAATTCATAGCCAATTCTTCTGCCTTTTGATGGTTGATACTTTTACCATCCTTATCTAGTATCAGCTGCACACCATTGTTAGAATTCCATCTTTCTGCAATACTGAAATTATTTCTTCCTCTTCATCCCACACTGTTATCTTTAACTTTTCATATGTATCTGCAATTCCTAATTAACAACGTACACTCCTCCACCAGTTTTCTGGCTTTCCAAATGTATTACACTAGCTTTAATGAGGATTGATTTTCCCTCCCTAACACCATTTTGGAGTAAGAAGCTTTTGAAGCTTTCTTATACCACTTTGGAAATGTATGTGTGTTGCTCTGAAGGTAATGCCTCCTATTTGTTTCCATAGAAACTACAACAGAAACAAAGAGCACAATAACTCTGTTTGATGGAAAAAATTCTCAGCTAGAAAACACTATTTTCCAATGTTAGCTACGCATTTTCATCTGGAATGAACAGGAGTCTGCATGCTGCTCTTGTAGAAATCTGCACCAGCGGAGGTGATCCACTGCTACAACACATCACCCACCGCCTCACTGTGATCAAATCCACTGTTTGGTCTCCATCAACATTCAGCAAGCATTGATAAATGTCAGTGGGTGCTGGTCACATCAGTTGCTCTTCTGGAGCAAGTCTATTATAAATACTTTCAGAAATAAAAAAAGTATTCTGTATTTTTAGTTAGGAAAATTATGTTATTAGAAAATAACTAACTTTGAAACAAACTTTACTTTTTCTTTAATAAAGAGTGAAGTGTGCTAATTTTATCTCCCCTCCCCTTTCAGCCCTTTTTATTCCCCCCCCTCCCCCCTCCTCTCCATCTTCTTCTCCCTTTCCTCTTTCCATCTTTTCCCAAATCTAACAGAGTTCTTTTGTATCTTGGCAGAGAGTATGGTTAAAGACTTCCTCCATGCCTGCTCTGAAAGCACTTTAAGGAAGAAGGGCCACAGCCAGTAGTAAGTAGCTTGGCTCTTCCTGCCTCAGCTTCAGCAGCACTCTCACCTGGTACCTGCTTATGAAACAGATGGGAATTGTGGGCTTTTAATTTCCTGAAGCTGTTTGGTCTCACTTCACCTTACCCATCTTAGGGAGAACACTGATAGGCAAAACTGTCCAGAGAAAGGTGTCAGTTTTACAAAGCTAGGCAGGATTTTAATCAACATGAGATGTCACGTGCTTATCTTTCCTCTGCCTCTTCTTCATAGAGTCCACTCCTCTCCCCTTCCTTTCTATTTGTTGCTCATTAAACTTACTCTTTTTTTTTTTTTTTTTTCTAAATCTTCCTGAAATGCCTTGAATTCAGAAACCATCTTGCTGTTCATTACTTCAGCAAATAATTTTCTTCTTTTTCTGTTGTGTTTATTTAAAATGTACACTAGGGAGCTGCCTCTATCTTGTCTGTTTATTACATCTACTAAAATAAGCCAATATTTTGTTTTCTTTTCACTTGGGTCAATTAGAAGTTGTAATACAGAAGGAAAGAGGCAACAGATCTATTTTCTTCCTTTTTTCTTGGTGAAGGACAGTAAAGCATTGCTCAGATTCACACCACTCTTCACAATAGCCTGTTGAATAAATTCCTTTATGCACTGAGCAGAGGTACCTGCTTTAAATAGATGGTACAGTGTGCTATAAGATGATTAGTAACTTATCATTGTGGACCTCTAGTTACCCACAACACCAGACCTTAGGGTTTTGTATGATAAATGCCCACCATGAGTTACAGAGCTACAGGGAGTTAAATATTTATGCTGGGGACAGTAAGCAAGGGACGACAACAATATTTTGGGCTTTGAACTCAGAGTTTAGAAAGAGGAAGAGTGGAAAGTGCCTGTTTAGTTCAAGTTTCTGGCTGGAGAAGCTCATCCAAGCATGACAGGCAGCACAGGAGTACATACACAAGTGGCTGTTTAAAAATTTAACAAGTAGGCAGCGGAGGCTGCTATAATAGGTTGATCAAAGGCAAGAGTCAGCATCTTGACAGTGAATGACTAGTAATAGCTACAGCAAGGTTGGACTCTAAAGAACCTGGAAGGCAAAAGTAGTTATTTCTGATGCATTATAGAAAAAGGAAAGCTGTGAGAGAGGGATACCAAAAGAGAGTGATCTTTTTAGCAGTATTCTTCATGGCTACAAGTGGAGCAGAACGCTATTTGTCAAGGCCAGGGTGAAGGATGTTGCTATAGCTGAGATAAAAGAAGAGGCTGAATGAGCTGGATAGAAAATCTTCTGTATGGAAGTGTTTTCAGAAGTGCTGAAGAGGAAGAAATGGTGGAGCTGAGACACTGTCCAGAAGCCTCGCTAGTCAAAATGAGCAGACCATAGGTCAGACTGACAGGTGCAAGTGGGCAGCGGGCAATGAGCTCTTCAGATGTACTGAGCCTGCCTGATGGCTACCTTCATGAATGCGGTAAAGGCAGTAAAAAAGGCTAGTCAAAGGAAAATATATTACTAAGTAGATGAGAGAAAAGGGAACTAAGTTAATGTTTGCAGAATGCATTATTGAAATAAATGGAGACAGAGAGATGAGAGACATGAGATCTGGTAACCAGCTGCGGAAAACAGGAAAAGGTTAGTTGGTTAGATCTCTTTGTCAGCTAGTTTGACCCTGATTATTGAAAGCCTCATCAGTTCAATTACTTAGTTCCCTTGGCATTCACTCTTATACTGTACTGCAGTGGAACAGTCATCTCATGGCAGGGAGCACCAGGATATTTTTCTGTCAGGCTCAAGTGGGGCTGCCAGAGCAGGCAAGAAACAACACACTGGAAGAACTAAGTACATCACCTGCATTCATTTGGCCAAGCAATCACCATAGCTTAGAAAAAATGATCTGCAAATTGTAGACAATCTGGAAGTCTTCTCTGAAATGTAACATATTGACTTTTGTTTTTAATGCACCATTTTTCTTCTCATATTTTGCTTAGTCATTCTAAAATGTTCCCCATCTGTTTAGTTATAAACCACATGGCACAGTGGGAGTACTGTCTGGTTAGAGACTAATTCTAAAAGCAATTTAAATCAATGTGAATGTAATTTCCCACGTATAAGTCTCTGACATTCCCTTGTCAGTTTTACCCTTTATTGCAAGGAAGCATTTGGTTGCAGTTCCCTGTTTTTCCACAAATTACTGTTATAAAATAATATCCTTATCCTCTGAATAGATATTAGAAGTACATATGACTCTTTCAGAAAACTAATCCACTTAGATCTCTAAGATTCATCCCGTGAACATGGTAAGCTTAACTTAGCTTACGCTTTTGGCTCCAGTCATTCTTACTTGCAGTTATTGCAAAAATTATAGTGTCAAGAGGGAAGATGAGAAAAATGATTCCCTATTTTTTTTGTACTTTGAAAGAAAAGTCAGAGGACAATCTATTAAGAACCAAAGAAAGAAAGCCAGTGAAAGAAGAAATCCCAGGACATGTATGGATGAAAGCATGAAAGGCAATTAGTAGTTCAAGCTTTGGCTAGGAAACAAAATCAAAAGCTTGAGAATCCTTGTGAAAAACAGGCTGCAAGGGATTGAAACTAAATTTTAGAAGAGCTAGAACGGAAACACAGTTAATATACCCCAGACAGAGTCAATTGAGACACCTGCATTAATTTAGAATAGGAAGAAATGAATTAAAGGAGAGTGAGGATGAAATACCAATGAATGAATCAGGAAAAACAAAACAAAACAAAAAAAGCCAAGAAAATAACAACAACAAAAAAAGCGAGCCACTGAAACAACCAAAAACACTGAAGCAGAAAAAAACAGAAGGACCAGAAGGACAGTAAGGTCACTTCTGTCAGTCTTTACATACAATAAATTTTCAAGAACCTTTGAAGAGAAAGAGGAGGAAAGTTTTTAGATTGCAGCTGCAAATCACTACCCTAAATGGGAAAGTTATGTGAGAAAACAGTTTGACGCTGGAAGAGGAGTGCTTCCTGTGAATGCTGTAGAGCTAGACAGTACTGAGTTATTTAAATTACGTCTCTCCAGTTTTTTTCCAAAATTATTAACAAATTTAACAGAAAAATACCAAATATTTACAGAAAGAGAGGGCAAGCTGCAGAACAGTATCTAAAAATATTTCACTTTTCTTTTGTATAGAAATACAAAGTATTCCTGGGGCACTTTTACAATTTCCCAAATAAAGTTGCTGCTTCATTTACTTAATACCCAGTCATTTTTACTGCACATAATTCACAGTTAAAATTAAAGACAAAAACACTATATATTTCTCCCACCTCAAATGTACGTAATATACTTAGAAAGAACATCCCCAGGTCCTCATCTCTGTAGCCTTAGCTTTAGCTTTCATTGCTCCTTCTTTCCCTCAGGAAGTAGTCTGACCTCCAGATCCTGTTGGTAACTACAAAGTAGGACTAGGAATTATTTTCATATATGCAGTTCCTTCTTATCAATGGGAAAAGGATGGGCTAAATTTATCCTCTCTTGTATCTTCACTGAAGGTCAATGAAGTGTCACACAATGGAACAGAGCAGTGCATACTGATCCACTTGAAGCCAACCAACAGAACGGTTTTCTGTTCTAACCCAGAAGTTTAGAAAAGACAGGAAAAGCATTTCCTGGAATGCTGCAAGCAACTAACAGTGTTTCAGTATCAGGCACTGTAAGTGAAAAAGAAAAGGAATGTACAGAAGTTAAATGAGGCATTTATCTCAAGAGGCTCCGCATTTGTTTCTCTCACTTTGCCTATCATAAAATGTCAGATCACACCTTTCATAACCACTTCCAAGAACTATTACAGAACACAGTTGCACAGAATGTGGATTGGTGCTTTGGGTTGCTAGTTTTTAACAAAATAGTTTCTAACAGAAAACATTAAAGAATTTCATAGAGAGATTGAATTCCTAGTCAGAAGAGAGCATAAGCCAGGTGCTGAGTTTTGTGACCAGAGCTCGCTACAGGATGGCAGATATAGGATCTGAGCCCAGTTCAGAGCAGAAATCTGAATGTGTTCATTTCATCTACAACCTCTAACTAGCAGGAGATCTATATACAGGAGGGCAAAACAGAAGAGGAGGAAAGAGTGATTCTGTCTTTTGCAGCTTGTCTGCACACCACGCCAGCACCTCAAAAAGCAAAACACCTGAAAGTCAAACCTCCTCATTCAAGTATACAGGCTCACAAGCATATTAAACAACAGTAAGCTCTGTCTTTTGATCACAGGTCACCACAAAGTGCCCATAAGCATCCCCTTTTGTAGTGGATCCTGATATTCCAGTCTTTAAACTTTTCAAAGCTTTCTCAAAAATTGCCAGCCAGAAGCAAAACCAGAGGAAAGAGCAGAGTGTTCTTTTAACCAGGAACATCCTGCTGTCCTTTGTTATATGCATACTTAAAAACAGTGCTGATTCTTTTGCTCAGCTGCAGGTATTACCCAGCATACAGAAATATGTTCCACGTGTTTCATTAATGTAAATTATATAGCAGCAAATTTTCCCACTAGGTACAGGCATTTGATCTTACTTGCAGGAATGCACACATAAAGACAGCTTCATCAGTTCAAGTGCACTGCTAGGAAGACCTGAGCTCATGTCTTCAGACATCATTGAAAAGAGCAGACAAATAATAGCATGATTGCAGAGGTTATCCAATTTGAACGCAATGGATATGTCACCTGGCATCACTTATACAAAGCACAGGAAGCATTTATTTCCCATAAACCTGTTTTCAAAATGTGCCTGTGGCACAAGATTAAAAGAAAAAAAAATCAGAGTAAGAACTCATTGAGGCATGAGAAATGGTACTAAGAAGTTAAACAGAAAAGGAGATTTTGTGTGATTCAGACAGCATTATATTATTTTTTTAACCAAGATCCTATTCATGATTTGCCAGAGAGGTGTAAGGAGTACAGCTTTCACAGAAATTGTTTCCAATTTCCACTGTCTTCTCTTCCAAAGGAGATGCCAATGTTTTATGTCAAGAAAGCAACCAAGCTTTTTGTTTCACTGAAAGAAAGTGATAGATAAAATGAAGCACAGTGAGAATCAGAGAAACATCTATTTCCAGTTCCAGCACTGAGATTGCCAGTGCTATCCTACTGTCTTCTTTCCATACTCTCAAAGAAAGCCTCTTGATCACAGCCATTTCAAGCAGGGAGCTGAAAATAAACAAAGAAATCCAGGATATTTAAGAAGAAAAGAGTAGGTTATAGTAAAGCCACAGAAATTTTTGAGCCAGTCTTTTGCTATAAAGCAGTAATGATATTTCCTCATCTCTAAGTGGTAGTGCAACTCTGTAACAAGTGGTACAATACAGAACAAGCAGCCAGTGTGTGCCGGATCAAGAAATAGAGCTGACATTCAGACACAGAAGATGAGGCAGTGCTCACTTGGGTGACACACACCAGGCTCCAAGAATTTAAGTTGATGCTTGTTCATCAAACAACTTGAATAATGCTTCTTTGTGCTTGTAGACTGCTTCTCAAAAAGGAGTTGCCATATCCTTTTTTTTCCTTTTCACACTATGAGAAGTGGAAGAGCAATTTAATACCTAAATTCAACTATTTTCTTGGTTTAGTTACAGCAGACAAATAGATAGCACCCTAAATTATCCAAACCCTTATCATTACTTTGTAAGGAAAAACTTTCTCAAGCTGTCCCAGCTCATCCATCATCTTTTTTGTTCTGAAGAAATATTGGGATTTTGGGGGGCTCTTTTTTACCTCTTGTTTCTTTCCCTTAGAATGAACAACAAACATGCCAGCAGACAAGCATTTCCACAACTATCAACACGGAATGAAAATATCACATTTCTGTAGAGGGATACTGAAAAATAATCTGTTTATCTGTATACAAAGCAATATAATTAACAAAAGACATTGTACCTGACAAGATGGTTAACCTGTTTTGGTTTCACATGCCTCCTGGAACTTACGTCTTTAAAAGATATCTTTGAATCACCATCAAATGCTGAAGTAGCTGTCCTTTCTCATTTCTAGGGAAGAACTTCTAGATGAAAGAAGAAGAAGAAAAAAAAAAAAGATAAAAATCTTGATTAAAAAAATGAATTCTGGAAACTTTGGGTCCTTATGGCTATTTTAATAATTTATCTGGAGAGACAATGATCTCCTTGCATGTGTGTTAATTACTGGAAAGAACATTAAGCCAGTATAAAATAAATTTGTATGGTACGACTCCACATCCTTTGCATGTTTTCAAGCCTACTGAAAAAGAAGGGAAAAATGTCCTATAAACAACTGAGTTGTGCAAGGCCGCAACTTTGAAGGTGCAGATAGAAAATATTGCTTGTATCCATTAGAATTAGTACTGTCTTTAAGCTTCAAAATTATCATTACCTATATTACTTCCAACTATAAAATGGAAAGCTGTAGGGTTTTTACAGGAAACTAGAAGTGTTGCAGAAATTTAAATGTCCTTAAGCTCATGTAGGGGTTTCAGAAAGTCCTTGATTTGAAGTGGTTCTTTCATACTAGCTAATTAAACTAGCTGTTCTCAGGGTTTAGCTAATTACTAGCCATGTACTAATTTTTTTTGTGCAGCTCAGATAACTTTGGGGGTTGCTGAATTTAGGCCAACTTGCCTCTCTTGAGAAGTCTGAAAGAAGAACTGAAATTAGAACTAAACTTTACTAAGTATGAGCATCAAAGTGAAACTTTGAATTTACACACGTATCAACTGAAAACAATTAGTACCTCTACTAGAAATGCATAGGACACTAAAGGATGAAAAACTAAAAATAGAGATAAAAAATAAATGAAAAACAAAGTAACAACTGTAGGACAAACAGGAAGAAAATCACTGTAAGTCTAGTAAGGAACACATTAAATTATGTGAAATTCCTCTACACCCATGGATCATAACCTGCCATCACCAGCTTGGTTTCCCATGCAGAAATGCAGTAAGCTCCTGCAGTTCTTCCAGCTCCCTTGCTACAGCAGCCCAACACATGGCTCCTCTCTCACATCTGAGCCATGGACAGGACAGGAGGCAGCACACAGCATTCTCAGTACCATTGGTGCTTTTTGCATAGGCAACCAAGCAGAGCAGGTAGTCTCTGAGCCACAGTGCAGCATTTCTGTCTTAGGGGATGTGAAATGCAAGTCATCAAGGTGACTTTTAACCATGTGTATAGGAACATGGTTCTCCTGAACCTGTTGCCTGAATGCAAAGATCTATCAGAAATAGAGAGGTGGAGAGACTGACACAGAAAAACTGTACATTTCATTGTCATGAGGAAAAACAGCTTTAGAGAGGGAAATAATCAAGTTTCTCACATTTTTCAGTCTTATAATACGTTTGTCTACTTTCAGCTATCAGTTCATTATTTCAGTTCCAGTACCATGTTATTCAAGTACTACACAGTAAATTCATGCTGGGTAGTTTCTCTGTACTCTGCTATTCATATTTCCTAAGGAGACAGTGCAGTTCTTGCAAGAACAGGCATTTAATTCACAGCCCTGCCATGGGCTCCCTGCCTGACCACAGACAAGCCACTTAACCTTTCAGTGCTGTGGTTTTCTCAGCTCTAAAAAGGGAAGAATAACGATGTATTTCTTGCTTTTTATTTATTTTGTCTGCTTAGACTGTATGCTCTTTAGGGTGGAGGTTATCTGCATGAAGTTCTAGTACTGCAGTATTTATCAATATAAAGATATCAATCGCCTACATAAAACAGTTCAGAATTTATTCTTTTTATGTGAATTGAAGTTCATCACTATCAGAGGGAGCACAAAAGGTTAAAATGCTTTTAAAAAGCAAGCAAATTGCTTCACATTGCCTGTATTTATAGATACTGTGCCGTCAGCCTCTGAAGTTACAGCAGCCTTGCACGTCTATCCTTGGTTTCTGACAACTGGGAATCCTGCAGCTGGAAAAGGGATTATGGTCTGCCTTGCCACTGAGCTCCCCACCTTTCTTGTTCAGCTCATAGTTATTGCAGTTTTAATAGAGTATGTAGATTTACCACTATTTTGTTCCTATTTATTACAGTGGTGATAATATGCATAGTGGCCAAGACACACAATATTCCCTTTTTCAGCCCAAAATGTGTAATAATATCATAATTTATACTGTTAGATTGCTAACTTGTTAATCTAGCCAGCTACTTCTGTATGACAAAGACAAAGCATGATTGCAGAGATTCCTAATTCTGTTTTAAGAAAAATCTAGAACCAAGCTATATCTTATATTGACACTACATCTTCAGTGAGATAATTTATGATACTTTTTTGAGGGTGAATGAAATGGACAGATATTGAGACATGGCATGGAAGACAGAAGAATTCCCTGATAACCTTGTGACAAAAGAAGTGCATTGGTTTCTATACCATCAATGATATAGTTTGCCTTACAAGCTTTATTTGCTTAAGATGTCATAGATAGTATGGTTTTCTTCATCACTGGAAAGCTCCTTCCCTCCATTTAATGGAATTCAGCAAGGCTGATTCACCCTTCCTAGTAAATTACCACAAAGAT